TGGATTTCTTTGAATGTTTGTTTTCATTCCCCCAACTTTGCTCTAAAACCCAGTTTTGGAGGCTGAGGTTAAGGAAATCCTCTTGAGTAGGGGAGAGAAACCCCACTGGGGAATTCTTGGAGCTCAAGTGGGTTCAGAAAGATGTGTGTAAATTTAAGGTATATATGTGTGTATATGTACATACATACATACATACACACACACACATGTATGCATATATACAGATTCCCTTAGCACTGTCCACAGAGGATGGGGACAATCATTTCCCTACAATAAGCACATCATATGTGTAAGTTATGGCTTTTAAATACCAATTTCCACTAAAAGGCAGAGAAATGGTCCAGTGCTGGGTCAAGGCAAGTACTAGAAAAGTTTGGGAAATTCTGTGTGCCAGGAGTAAAAATGAGATTTAAAATGCTGGGAACATGTCAAAAAGACACAGGAGCCAACATGAAGTTTGAAGTGTGAAGGGGCTCACACTAACCAAAGGATAGACAATTTTGACATTCAAAATAAGTAACAGCTTATAACCCCCATTGAACAGAAAAATGAATCCATATTTATATTTAAAAATTTACATTTTGATTAGGTGTAAGTTATACATATAGCTTCAAAATACTTAAAAGGGAAAATACTTATAACTTTATAGTGAGGTAGGTACCTTGCGTAGTGTTTTAAGGGATTTAAAATGATCATCAGAAGTGGGGCAAATTGAAATAGTTCATTACCTGATATGATGCATTAAAAACAATGATATTGTAATGTTCCTGCCAAAGACGCACAACCAAAATCTAATCCACATAAAACAAATAGAAATGTAAGGACATTTTGCAAATTAACTCCTATAATAATATACAAAATTGCCCGTAGTTGCAAAATTCAAGACATGAAAGACATGATAGATACCATAATCCAAGGCACACATGATTTCTACTAGATCCTATAAAGCATTATTGGAAAAATGAGTTAAACTTGAGTGGAGTCTGAAGCTTAGATGGGAGTAATGTGAAGGTACTGGTTTTGATGGTTGTGTTGTGGTTATATAGAGCTCCTTCTTTTCGGAAATACAAAAGTATTTGAGGGTGATCATCATGACAGCAATTTACTCTCAAAATGTGGAAAATTTTATTTATACAGTATTTACAATCTTTCTGTAACCTTAAAATTGTTCCAGAATTTTTTAAAAGGCAGGATGTAAAAAACGAATCAAGATACTTGTTCTGAAAAGTTATTAAAGGAATTATCTAAAAAGATTTTGTTATGATGAATTTTGTCTCATTCCTATGTCCACTGTGCATATATATATATGTTCTTCAAGCTATTTTAGTTGTCTTTAATGCCCCCAGATTTTAACACACATGAATTTCAGATCTTATTTAAACTCCACCCATCCCATTATGTTGATAGTAACATGTTCATAAGTGCCCTTCAGTAAAGAAAAGCTATGTAAGTTCTATTTTTTAAATCAAATAAAAAATGTAGCTATTTCTACACTCTAAAAATAACTTCTCCCTCTTGTGGCAAAAACTGGAAATACATTCTAGCGGAGAAGCCCAAATAGGCAGGCACTTAAGTATTTCTGACTTTTTTCACCTAAGTTTAAATGAATGGCTCATGTTATCTGCTAACAGCACACAATAGTTGCAAAAATATCTAGAGGTAGTTCCAAAGGTTTTCTTTAGGTTACCAGTGTCCAGATGCTATTTGCAGTCTCCTCTATAGCAAAAAGCTTCAGATGTAATGTAACTGTCACAACAAAACACCAGAGCTCAAAGGAACCAAATTTACCAGAGTAAAAAGATCAAAATGATAGGCAAGTTAAAAAAATTTCTTATTCAAAGGTACCTGCTGATTTAAGATTACAGGAAGTCTTCCTGCCTTTCAACTATTAATTTTAAAATTTTGGAAGTTCACCACTGGAGATAAATTTCTGGGAGCTATTTCCAACCAATCTTCAGGCTTAGTTTATTATAAGATTAAGATACATTTGAAGGGATAAGACATTTTCTTTCATTTAAGATCACCAATGGTGAAAACAAAAGGAAGTCACACCCATCTAATGTACTAACGAAACTTAACTTACTCAGTCCAAATTCTTATCCCTGTTGTTAAACCCTCCACATTTTTCCTATTTATATAATTCTGGATTTTACCAACCTTCCACTGATTACAAATGGTTTTTGAAAGTAAACTTAATTCCAGTTTTGGACTTTTAAATTAAAAGTGGCTCAGTTGGATACTGTCTCTTAAACACAGTAATATAAATATTAGTATCTTGGCTAAAATGAATTATCAACAATTTTAATACATGTTGCACAGTACATATTAATATAGAAAAATACATGTTATCAGCAGCGTAATGTTGACTATGTTCTAATCCATTCCACCTGCTCAAATATTAGTGCAAATAATTATATATTTGTAATGCATCACTGCTGTCTTACGCAAATCTATGCCTTCTGAATAAATGACTTTCCTCTGAGGTTGTTTGCTGTTTGGAGTATAATGTGATATATTCATATTTAAATTGGCTTTGTATGGTGAGGCAGACTGCAACCTTCTAAACCACTTAGAAAATGAGCAAGTACTGTTAATTATTTGCCTCCCATTCCCATTCCCCAAAAGTGCATGCTAATCCTGACAACTAAAGTTCACTGGTATCTCCAAAATAATAGTGATAAAGTATACAGGGCCTATTTTAAAAGAATAAATCTTGTTAAGCTCAGGGTCATCAGCCACTTGCTCTAAGTCACTAATACAAATTCTTACTAATGTACCAGGCTTCTCAACTTTAAATATCTGAGAGACTGTTTCTCCACTAAAAAAAAAAAAAAAAAATATTTTAAAGTGCTCATCAGTAAAAGGAATACAAATTGAGTTAAGGCAATTTTTAAGAGACTAAACATGCAACTAGTGATGACATAAAAAGTGACTCCATTTCTAGCATACTGAGTACATTTTGCCCTCCCAGCATTTCCATTCCAGCACTAGTCATTTAAAAAGTGCCAGTGCACTAAATAATTAACAGAATTAGCACTTATGACATTTAAAATTGTCTTTTTTTAAGACAGAAATACTGATTTCCTCATATTTTCCAAGGAGGAATTGTCATTTACTTCCATGTTACAAAATGTGGTGTAAAATATCTGGGACCTTTGCAAAAATTTAGCAGAAACATTACAATTTTGTAAAATAATACTATTTTGTGGAAAGATGTCTATTAGGTTAAAGACATAATGGTTAATTAAAATTTCATGACCACTTATAAAATTTAAAAATTAAATTAAATGTATGATCATACATTGAAAAAAATTCAATAGTAAACTAGTGACCCTGTATATCATAATCTAAACATTACAATAAAAACCAACATTGAATGAAAACAAAATTAAGCAAAACCAAAGAGCCTATTAAATTAAAGGACCTATTTAACATTATATAAGGAGAATATGTATAAAAACAGAAGAATAAAAAAGAAAAATCTAGGATTCAGTCTGAGCCTTTTACCTGCGGTAGACCTTGAGCTAGTCTATTGCTGTGCCTTAGGTTTTTCATTTGTCAAATGCAGGTAATGATACCCAATTCCTATGGTTGCTTTGGGATTAAATGAGGTAAGATATGTAAAATGGCTTAGCAGAGCAATAAAAGGTGGCTATAATTATTTTTATTATTCCTCTGTAGGAAAAAAATACTGACTTTTTATTTCATGCTGAATTATTTAGTCTGGAAATAGGGACTGGTCTTTTCCTCCAAAATACAAATGTATTTCAGGCACACTTTCTCAAATAGAAAGGCATAGAACAGACTGAATATATTAAAACGAGGAGATGAAAGCATACAGGCTTTATATGTCAAATTCTCCATAAGAAAAATCAGGAGAATTCAGTATATTTCTAGAAAACATCTCACACTTCAGAGTGAATGGGGAATATATGGGTAATATAAAGAATTTTTTTGCATTAGAAAAAGTTAAATTTCCAGATGTGAGTTTTTTAAGTCACTAAAAAATTATGCACTGAACTCTGCATGCACAACTCAAGAATGCATTAGACACTACCTTATATAGAATGATCACCTTAAGGAGCTATACGCAGCATTTTAGCAAATAAAATCTTTTTATCTGGATACTTATAAATATTCACCATCTCACCATCCCAGCTGACAAAAAAAAGCATTTTAAGGAAGTAATATTAAATTTTCCACTGTGAATCGAACTTCTGGCTGATAATTAAATTATACCAATGTGAGTTAGAGGCTGGTATTCAGATAGTAAAAAAAGGGAACATGACCTCAAATATACCATAAATTTACTTACTTTAGCAGCTCTCTTTTTAAAACAGAGAAAGTCCTAGCAACTTCCAACAATGGTGAAGATTAATAAATGAGGTTAATAACTGTGTTGGAAGAACAAATAACTTTTTAAAAATCTATCCAACTGAGGTATTAATGATTCTTTGTAAGCACTATTCCTTTATTCCAGGTGACTGTCATTTTCAGTATCATTAGTTATAGAAGCATTTCACTTTCTGTACCATTTTATGTAAACAATATATTCAAGTTTTAGAAAGATAATTTCCAATGTTTTAGAAGATACTTTCAACTTCAAAACATGTTAGTTCATCTGGAATTGTGGTAAACTAAAGAGCTTCTCCTTATTCAAATGTTGGCTAACGTTACTAATATACAAAGTTCTATTACCATTACCTAAAATTTTACCCTCAGCATATGAAATACACTTATTTATTGAGAATCTCCGTTGAGTTATACATTCTGGGCAAATTTTTGTGATGAACATAAATATAAAGATACATTAATAGTCAGAATACAAAGAATTCATGGTGTTTTATACAAAACAATTTTTAGAGAAAGACAATCTATTTTGGCTAATTTCTTAGATAGCCAAGTACTATTTTCTGCTGAAAAAAACAGAACTATGAAAAATCAGGAATATATAAAAAAACCTAAGCAAAAAATAATTTATAAAAACCAATATGAATGTTTTTAAAATGTAAAAATGGAGTGAAATAAAAAAAACAATTGCAGGAATTTGTTTATTGAATATTAATGTTAACACGCCTAAATTAAGTATTCACTTATGAGTTTTATCACTGCCCTATCAATGGACATAGTAGAAAATATTGCACATGACTCAAGCATGGAAATAATAAACAAAATATTTAAGGAACAATTATGTTTTACATTTTAAAACTTAATTCAAACAAAATAATTTGAAGTGCTTCTACAATGTGGAAGTCTTAAAATGTTCTCTCATTTTATTTGATATTTTTTCTTTTTTTTTTCTTTTTTTAAACAAATTGACACAGTGTACAAAGAGTTCAAATAGCCAGTAAAACTACTGCCTTAAAATTGTTGGCTTTAAGTAACAGAGGTATACTTTGAATTCACATCAGAGCTTTCTAAAATGGCAACAATACAAGCATATGACTTTCTCTAGTATCCGAAACTTGTTCTAGTTTTCCATTGGCTAAGGAACAGAAAACTAGACAGTCTTCTAAAGCTGCCACAAAATTGAAAAATGCTTTGATAAAATTGGCATACTTCATTTCTCTTGCTTACCTTGAAAACACTGGGATAAACAGAAAATAAAGGAAATCCAGTCAATAGTAACTTAAACAATAACTAGCTCTGGAGTTGGAAGATTTGGTAAAGTTATGAACATTCAGAAACATAATTTTAAAAGAAAAGCAGTTTTCCAAATTTAAGACAAAAAGCCTACATTAAAGTGAAAAAAATGCTAAGAATGAGTTGAACATTCAAATTTATACGTTCTTATGAACAACACAATGGAAGAGGAAACACTACACATTAAGAATTCTTGCAAAGCAAGTCTATAGAGATTATAGAGTAATGGCCTTTCTAAATTTCCACTTGATGTTTAAAATTTTATAAGTGATTTATTATGTCACCGTAGTAAGCCAATTCAATTAACTACATTCAGGAATTACTTCAGAAATGTTTTGAAAAAGATGACACAAACTATAGATTTGGATAGCAACAAGTCCTTGCAAAGTTCATCCCATTTTAGAATTTACATGCTATTTATCAGTCCCAATTCCTCTTAAAATAGAAGACTACCTGCATGTTTAGTCACTCCATCTTATTCAAGTTTAGCATTAAGACAGAAAAATCTTAAAAAATTGCATCCTGCTAAACACTTTCAGTATTTCACTTCTCATATGCACCATTTAGATTATACCTCACTTTTCCACTTCCCTTATAATATTAAAATAATGAATAAATATGGTCCTTTAGTTAAGGCCCTCCACCTTATCTTAAATGAAATATAAAACAAGGTAGTTACATTAATTTCTTGCTATCATTGGCTTAAAATCTGTTCACCAAATAAGAAATAGTAAACTTTGTTTTTCTTTTACTCAGAAAGCAGATCTATTCTGATCTACTCTCAATATCTACATAAAATTTTTCATCATTTTAGTTTAGTTTATAACATTTTTCTTAGAATAGTATTACTGTACCTCAGAAAAATGTCTAATCAACCAACTATGGAAATTATGCTGAAAGGTTAATTCTTCAGGAAAGCAGCAAAATGTTCTCTAGGGAAACCTACAATAATTTGATTAACAATGAGTGCTGAAATGGTCATTAAAAATGATAAATAATAAGTGTAGTTTTGCTGTATTTTACCTATTAAATAAAACAGGATGGTGAAATATCCCATTTCCCATTGGAGTACGCTAAACAGTAAGGACTAGAACACTGATAACGTATTTGTATTCTGAGAACAACATTGTCCAAGATGAGAACTACATGTATTTTCATAGAATATGAAATCTTTAAGTTCAAAAATGAAATTAAAATTCAACTTCAGGATGAAAAAACAAAATATGGTTAGTAGTGTCCAAATTCAAATAAAATTTCGAATCTAAGTATGGCTGCTGTTTCTCCAGTCATTTTTCCATAAAATGTTGGCTGTATCATAAGAAATCTCCTGTGCTTTCTATCAACCAAGGCCTTTCTATCAACACATTTCTCTTGTAAATTCGACCTCAGCTGAAATGTCGAGCAAGGCGAGCAGATCTATAATCAGCACGAAGTTGTACGAAGGAGTGAAGAATGTTCTTGTCCAGATTAGCAAGTTGTTCTCCTGAGCAGACTTGCTTTAAATTATCAGGGGCAACTACCAGAAGATTGCAAAGTGCATGCAGGGTATCAAAAAGCTGTAATACCAGTGGAATCTGAATTGAAATGAGAAAAGAAAAAAACAATGAAGCAAAATTACTTCCAGTTTTATAATTAGTTCATAAATTCTCACTTAAATACTGTCAGTTAGGACTTAATTCATTTGAGAAAGGAGCTCAGTAGATTCGAATTCTTAAAAATATCTAAAATGTTAAAACTCAAATATTTTAAACATTATTCAAACTTGCTACAATCTTTTTGAAACAATTCGTATTACGTCAAATTTCTTCAATAGTAATTATACTTTATGGTCTAGAACTAGTTATTAGTTTTAGAACTTAAATAATTTTAATGTAAAGAAAAACTGATTTCAGAGAGAGATATATTAAGAAAACATGTTCTCCTAACATGTAGAATATGTTGTATTAGTTATGTAAGTCAACAAGCTTTTGTGGACCAAAACTGAAATATGGCCTATCTAAAATGAAGCACAAAACAAAAATGTATTAATATTGAAAATATGATCATAATTATACTTTTTCTGGCAGGAAATGTTAGCTCTATCTCGCTTCAAAAATCAACTAATTATGAAAGTTTCATTAATGGCTTTGTCAATACAAATTTTTAAAAATTTACTTATTTACATCATTCTTCATTTTGTGCATTTTTTCATGTTGTCAGCTGTAAATCCCTGTGGACTTCCCACCACCAGTTCACCCATGTGTCATCATCAAAGTCCTATGTGCTCTTCCTGACAGAGTTTTGATCCTATTCCCCTCCCCACCCCTGTAAAATGTCTCTGATTTATATTTGCTCATTGTTTTTGTTTTTATTTTTATTACAATTGCTTTTTTTTTTTTTTAAGATTTATTTATTTGTGCATACAGAACTGGAGTACAGGCCAGAGGCTCAGGAGCGGCGAGAGGCTTCACCAGGGACAGAGTGGGGAGCAGAATAGGCAGATCGACAAAGTACACTGCTGAGGGGAGCAGCGGGCGGGTCAGGAGAGGTCTGCCGCGCCATGTGGTCACCTCCGGGGCAGGCAGGGATCGAACTCATGAGGAAGTGGCTTTAGCTTCTTAGTGCTGTGCTTTAACCCGCTGCACCAGCAGGGAGGGTCTACAATTGCTTTTTTTTTCTCTTCCTGATCCAATACAGATTTTTAATGATCTGACTTATGTTGTTGAATCTATGGACAAGTTTGACATTTGTGTACATACCTTGAAGTCTTTGGCACACTTTCTATATTCGGCTACATCACAAATTGCTAACATGCCACCCATACAGCTGTAGGAATATTGTTGAAGATGCTCATAAACAAGTCGGTGAAAACGTACTCCAAGTTCCATCAGAACTGTATCCACATTCTTTCCATCCATGGAATTTTTAATCTTCTCCACTTGTTTTCTTACATAAGCACAGACTTTAGCACAGGCCTGAAAAATTTTTTCTACTCTTATCAAACAGATAATGTACCAATTTATAGGTATAAAAGATATACCAGCAAAAATGTTAACAAAGTATTAACAAAGCAGATATTCTTATAACACATCAAATCATTTTACTCACATTAGTATACTGAATCAAAACATTGTTTTCATCTTCTGGCTTAAAGTCTGTTTTCTTTTGTTCTGCAGCCAAGATGTGCTTCATCTGTCCAATCATACAATTTAAAGTCCTAGAGAATGGAGAATACCATGTATTTGATCTAATTATTTTACATTTACTTTTATTTATCTTACTTTGTTATTGATAGACATGAGAACTTTTTAAAAAGTAAATTCTAAGTCTTGATATCAAAGAATTCTTGGTTTTACTAGCTTCCTACTCAAAACACAGGCAATAATTTGTTTGCCTGATAACTTAAGTAACTATTAACAATCTTAGAAGCCCATCACTTATTTATTTCTTTAATAACTATGGAACTAAAAGGCAAACGATTTACAGAAATACTTGGAGAGAGAGAAATACATAGGACCTAAGAATGGCCAACATCTGGAAGAGCAGGTGAAAGGAACATGAGTTTCATGGGACACATGAGTTTCTAAAAATAAGCAGGAGGTTGTTTAAGTGGTACTCAACACTCAACTGAGAAATAAGAACATGGGTGTGTAGTAGTGTCAATAAAGTTTGGGTTGTGTGATGTGATATTTTTCAACAGCAGTTAGTCACCCATTTATGGATAAAAAAAGAGACTGCATTGAACCACATCTGGTATAGGAGCTGTTATTGTTCAAGGAAATAGTTATGAGGGAGAAAAATCAAGAGATGAACCAAGCACTTTTAAAATGACAAGGAAAGTTAGGAAAAGGAGAAAAAGTTGTCAAAAGATGAAATATTAAGATCTACATTTACAACTGAGGTCAAAAAACATGTAAGCAGAACTGGCAGAATAGAAAATTGTAGGGAGGTTTCAGATTTTGTTAATAATGGTAACAAAGGTCCTGTGGGATACAGGAGCAGGTAACGGAAACAGAGATGATCAAGAAAAATAAATGGGTCACAAACATGACAGCAGAAATGAACGTGAATGAACTTCCAAGGAAAAGACGTTCTGGTAGATGGATACTTGTCTAAAACTATCAGCAAGGATCCAGGTGAATGCTCAGCTTACCTCCTGGTCCCAACACATGAGTAAAGGAATAATAACAACTCACATCACAGATGACTATGGCTTCAAAAAGTCAACTAGGGCAATTAAAGAAACTATACATCTGTAAATCTATACATATTAAGAAGACCACTAGGAAATAAATATTCACATTCTTTTGAAGGCTTATTAATATATCTAATCTCCTCCCTTCCCAAAATAAATTTCAGGTATTTTAAGGAAAAGCAGGAAGAAACAACTTTAGTTAATGAAGAATTTAGGTTAAGAAAATACTTCTTAAAAGTGCTGATTATAACATACATATATATATGTGTGTGTGTGTGTGTGTGTGTGTGTGTATGCATTGCAATGATATTAAAGCAAGACTAAGTATGTACTCATGTAATTCTAACTAAAAGCAAAGGGAGAAACCAGTTTTTAGGATTCTGTTAAGCAGCTAATTCTTTACTAAAGTAATTTGAGTCTCATTTTTGTATTTTCCAGCTTTATTCTTCAATTTTATGTTGCTTTCCCTTATTATCATATTTTAGTAGACCTTGATCTTATTGAGAATATATTTGGAGGTGAGTTGCAAGTGATTTGTTACTAACAAAATTTATTTATTTTCATAAATTAGATTGGATTCCAGCACTGTAACTAATTTGCAAATATGCTTTCTTGAACAGAAGTGAAAGGAGTAGAATTATAGTAAATAAAAGAAGACATACCCAAACCTAGTAGCATGGGCTTTAGAATTTGAGTCCCAGCTCTACCACCATTAACTGTGTGATCCTGAGCAAATTACTTAATTTCTTTAAGCCTCCGTTTCCTCATCTGTAAAATGGAAATAGTATTTCCTACCTAATATATGGAATAATCTGTGCCATATACCTGGCACAGAGCAAATGCTTCATAAATGGTAGCTGTTATCATCAGTCAATATATACTTAACCATCATCTAAAAAATAAAGGACAGAGACCGATAATGTGAATAGGTGATTAACCACAATTAAGTTAACTATATGAAAACTTCTTGAATGTAGTTTGTATTCACTTAGTAGAAATTACTTTTAGATAATTAGTGTATTTGTTTAAAGCATTTCAGATTTAAGTAAGAAAATGATAAATAAAAAGCTTCTATGTTACACACCTGTTTTTAAGGAGTTTGTAGTCTACAAGTGTATAGGGGGATTTACGAAAAATAGTTTTAAATTAATCTGGTTTAAAAGTAAAACTAGACATAGTGACGTGCAGAAAAAACTTAAGAGAATTCTATTAAGGATGAAGGCAAGATGTCAAAATAATACCTAATGCTAGATAGCAAAACAGTGGAATGAAGAAAGGCATTTTTCTTCTCTGAAAACCACTTTCATGTGTTATAAAAGTGTTTTACAATTAAAAAAAGGTAAAATAACTTGCCTATCAATGCCAGTATCCAATTTCATCTCCATTTGTTCAATTATTTCTTTTTTCTTTTGTAGGCATTCAGATAACTTAGGAGAAGAACTGTTTAATATTTAAAGGAAAAAAAAATCCCATTAGTAACCCTAGAATTCCAAAACTTTTTCATATGCATACGTGTAGTTATATATACATATTTATACACACAATCAAAAAATATATTTAATTTGCTCACAAATCCAAGACACACATACTTCCCACATGGCACAGCAGACCTCTCCTGTTTTTGTCCACTGTTCCCCTCAGCAGTGTACTTCACCAATCTACCTGTTTTGCTCCCCACTTTGTCTCTAGTGAATCCTCTCACCACCTGGACCTCTGGCTTGTACCCCAGTTCTTGTATGCATGAGTAAGTAAATCTTTTTAAAAATTCATATAAATCGACAAGGATCTCAATCAAGCCTTACTTATCAAAATCTGTCCCCTTAATCTCATAAAGGATTTTGCTATGTATCTTTATGACAAGTGGGTACAAGTAGACAATGCTTGTTAGATCTTTTGAAGGATGTCAAATTTGCTGAGTTTCAATAACCTACAGGTTCTTTCACATCAGATTTAGGTTTATAAAAATAATCTCTTCAAATCAGTATTATTATCATAGTTGGAAGAGAAAAAAAGGCAAGAAAGAAAAGTTCTTTTCTTTTTTGTTTTCACATTCTCCTGTCCTGTTTGGTATTTTTATGAAAATGTATTACTTGTGAAATTTAACTAAATGATACATAAAATACTGTAATATTCATTGCAATACCAATGACAATCAAATAATTTGACTAACCTTATTAGTGGCATAAGGTGATCATTAAACTGCTTGTCAAAGAGATGAAAAATAGTATTGGCTTGTTGCACAACATCCAAAAAATAGAGATTTGCATTCCTAGAATCTGAAGAAGGAATTCCTAAAATTGTAAAGTATGCATATATTAGAAGTATATTTTAAAAAATTCATCTTGGCCCTCCCTGGTGGCGCAGCGGGTTAAAGCACTGCACTAAGAAGCTTAAGTCAACTACGCATGAGTTCGATCTCCCCTGCCCCGGAGGTGACCACATGGCGTGGCAGACCTCTCCTGGCCCGCCCGCTGCTCCCCTCAGCAGTGTACTTCGTCGATCTGCCTGTTCTGCTCCCCACTCTGTTCTTGGTGAATCCTCTCACCCTCCGCATCTCTGGCCTGTACCCCAGTTCTGTATGAATAAATAAATAAATCTTTAAAAAAAAAAAAATTCATCTTGATACCAGAAAAAGGAATGTGGTTTTATATATGGGACATGAATAAAAGTAACTTCTGTTTTAATAAATCAACAATAACTTTTGTGATCAAAAGAGTAAAATTAAGTTTGTCAATAGCAATTAAAATCCATCCAGTTATTTTATTCTCAAGTTTTCACTATTTACTTGCTGAAATAAACTGAAAAACTAATCAATGAATGAATAATTTTGAAATATTCCTTGTCCTTCCCTTCCTCATTCTCTCATCCCCAATGATTCACATGAGCCATGTATAACTTCAATCATTTTTCTTGTAACAGTCCTTAACAGTTAAATAATGTCTTCATTCCTGGTTCAAAGGAATTTTACACAAAGTATAATAAATCTATACATACCAGCAAGTCCTGTTTCCAAAGCATAATCAATATGCTCAATACATAAAAATTCCACAAGAATTGTAAAAATTCTAAAGGCATTCCTTGGTAAATCAGAAGGATCAGAGAGCTTTAAAATGCAAAACAAAATATATCATTCCTCAATATCTTCCTTAAAAAAAAATCAACATTTTTTAAGACATCAGCTTCATATATAAAGTAGTCAGTTTTTTTAGGTATAACAATAATTTCCTCTCCACTCCTAAAACCTCTCTTCACATATATGCACATACAGTTACAATGCTATTTGTCTACAACTCTCCTGGTTTATAACAGCGCAAAGTTTTCAAACTTGGTTTGCATCCACTACTAATCTGTTAGAGTGAATCAATAGAAAATAAAGTATAATGGACACAGTAAAAACAAGTATAGTTGCAAGAAATACTGTCCACACATACAGACATACCACACACAGACATATACACCCACACACTGGATTGCTAAGTAAAGTGTATTTCTCATTGTGAATCAGAGTAAAAGAGGCTTGAGATCCACTGACTGAACTGGGAGTATTCTAACAAAGCTCAGAACAAAAAGAATTTTTTATTTTATCAGGGTCTGGGGAGGGGGATATCATTAACATATGCGTTTTAAAATATAACAAGTTCAAATTCCAGCTTCATCATTTCCTGATGAAGCGAACCACTGAGGTGTTATTTTACACCTCCATGCCTCAATTTTTTTTTTTTATCTATAAAAAGGGAATAATATTAACAGTACTTACATCCTAGCTTTGAGCTGGAAATAAAACACGAAAATGCATGTTTACGTGTTTGGGACATAATAAGCTTACAATAAAATGTGCTTGTTTTTATCTTGAGAGTGCTGCTGCTGTAATCAGTACCAAAATGATTAGTAGTAGCTATATTGAGGAGAAAATGAAATTTTTCTTTAAAAAGTTTGAAATTTATCTCTCAGTTTTATAATTGCTTCCTCAATTATTTATCAATTGATTTCTGCTATTTGTCATCTCCATTCTTGTACTTTCTCAGTAATGTCTATTTGATGTACATAGGGAGCTGAGGAAGTCTTTCATATATAAATCCTCTAAATCGCCATTGATTATAAATACTGATTTGGTATTGCCCAATTCCCTTTTAAAGTCTTAATAACCATGCTAACCTTTACCCCTTTATCATCTCTCTACCTCAACCATCATATCCTTTCTCTGCTCACTAATGCTCAACAAATGCTCAAAGTCACAAAGAAAAGATTATATATTTCCTCTCCCTATTTACATCCATAAATTCAAAGAGAAAGACAGAAAACTGGCAAAGATATAGAAGTTGTAAACACTATCAACTGAACCTAACTGATAGTTACAGAATGTCTGAGTCGTAAGAAAAATCTTATATACTCAACTTTAAAATTATATTAAAATGCATTTCTATATAATCTTTAATAATCCTATTTCCAAACAAGAACTTCATCTTTTTTTATTACAAAAAAAGTAGCTGTTCTTCACTATAGTGCAGATTTACATCTTAGTAAACACAAGGTCAGTAAGTAAATAAATTTACAATCACTCTTACCCTATGACATCTTTCAAAGGCTTGTTTGGTTTCTTGTAAAAGATTAACCACCACTTCTTGAGACAGGAAAGTTTCCCCATGAGTATCAATACTTGGTCCCAGTGGCAAGTTGGTACGTTGTCTAATTCTCTCTTTCAAATCTTGAATACTAGCGCATCATATCAACAAATGAAAAAAGGACACAACATATATTTCACTTTCAAGCATTCTCAAATTTAGTGCCGATTACACGAACAAAGAAAAATGTACCAATACTCAGGATCCTAAATTTGTAATTTCAACAGTAAGTTCTGTGAAGTAAGGGAAGCACTAATCTCTTAAAAGAAAGCTTTCATTCAAAAAAGTAAGTATATGTGGAGTTACTCAAATCTTTTTCAGTTCTATAATTCTGACTCAATAGACAAAACTCCTAGTTTGGCTTGCTTAGAAAGTAAGCTTTTCCAAATAAGCTAGTATTTCCAAAAGCTAAGTGATTGCTTAAAACTTTAAAATTTTAATAGCTTTTAATATATTTAGTCATTTGTATATCTTGTATATTTCTTCGTTACTAAACAAGAAACATTAAACATAATTTAGTTTTTCTACAGACTGAAGGTCACTTGAATATTATATAGTGGTATCTAATAAAGGTTAGATAATTTGAATATTTATAGATTCCAGTTTATTAGTGAAGTAGTTTTTATTGTTCCTTAGCTTTTCCTCTTCCTTTACTTGCCACAGCATTTTATGTTACCTCTTACTCTTAATTACAGCCTCTTCCCAATCATCATTTAGTGTCTGACAACTGGGCAATTGATTTGGCTGTGTGCATGTGCACTCTAGACTGAGATCAAAAGGCACCACGGAAGTCATTCTGTTTCTAGTCATCCTAGAATCCACCCTAGGTTCCAGAAAGTTGAGATCTGGATAACTATGGTGCCACTATTTCTTTGACTAAATTATTTTCTTCCAGTGTGTAAATAATTGCAGGCTTTGTTATTAATAATTTTATAACCATGTTATTAAAAAGGTCAGGGAACCTAAACTCCTAACTACTGCTGAGGCTTTTTAATACTTGAAGCAACAGGAAAAAATCACATGCTTTCTACTACCTTTTATGATAGATCATTTCAACATGTGATTCAAGAGAAAGTATTTTATCAATAGTATAAATAAAATGGATTAAAAAAATTCTTCGTAGGGCCTTCCTGGTGGCTCAAGGATTAAGACTCAATACTATGAAGCTATCAGCAGCTACTGCAGGACAAATTTCCCTGGCCAAGAAGCTAACCCAGTGCAGTAGACCTCTCCTATATCACCCGCTGTTCCCTTCAGCAGTATATTTCAGCAGATCTGCCTGTTCTGCTCCCCATTATCTGGTGAATCCTCTCATGTCTATATGATGTCTAGCTGATACCCCAGCTCTTGAATGCATAATAAAAATGAATCTTAAAAAAAGTTCTTCATAAAAAATCCCAGTGACATTTGTCCAATTAATAAAATTCGTATCTTTAATTTTAACTATAACATTTAAGAAAAGCACTCACCCTCCTGTGCCAATGGACCTCTTCTGATGATTTTTTGAATCATAATAGCGTTGTAGGATCATTGCACTTCTGCTTTTCAAATATCCAATCTCCACCTCAATATAGTTCTCCAAATAGGAAATGAAAATGGATTTGATAAGCTTAGACAAGAAAGTCTGTTTATCAGTACCTAAGTTAAACTCCATCAACTTGCTGGAAAGATTGGTGGTTCTTTTCATGGAAAAAGGGGAAAAAACATAAATTCATATTTTAGGTATATTTTAATACTATGAAATATATTTTTTCAATAAACTATGTTAAACCACCATTCTTTGAGCCCTGTAATAGTGAGAACAGCTATACAGTTATATAGGGTAGCATGAGTAACATTAACATTAGTTTTGAAGCCTGCCATAAACTCCTAAGGATGACTTAGCAGAGTGACCCTGAACCAGTCTAGAAATGACAACAGTGGCAGACTGGCTCCAAGTATGATCTAATGCCATTCATGACATGAGATCCAAGAAAGAATATTAGCAGGTCTATTCTATATTTTCTTTTATCTTTGTTTATAAGAACTTTCCCCTAATTTTCTGTTTCTCACTACTGAAGATAGGGTCACTGGTGTTGCTTGTTGAAATGGTTACTTTTAAAAACCTTCCTCCTAAAATGACAACACTGAAAATGGCAATTGATTGGAAAACCACTCCATGTGAAGCTTCTAATAAAAATTTCTAAGTGTAACACTACCATTTACCAAAAAAAAGCACAAGACAAATTCTCCCATTGAACTTAAGGCTGAAATTGTCATTTTTTAAGAAGCTGTCATTTCCTTTTTCAATTTCTAAAGTTTTAAGTTCAGACAGTAGTATTATATGAATTCTCAGGGGAAAAAATGAAAGAACAGTAAACTAGCTCATAATAAAAATCAGAATCATAATTCTTAAGTCTTAGTTTAAACAAGTTAAACAAGATTTTATGAAAGCACATTAATACAAAGCATAATATCCAACTCCTAAAGTGAACACAATAAGAATGCTTTTATAAGAATACTAATTTATACAGCCAAGCATTTAATGCTAAAATGGACACTGCCACGACAGTTATTCAAAAATATCTGAATACTTCCTCATATCAATTAAATATAAGAAAACCTAAAATCTGTTATTTTCTAGTAATTAAAAATATACCTTGTATATAGATCATAGAGATTTTTGAGATATTGCTCTGCATCAGACTTCCTACATTCTTCTAACTGGTCTTTCACAAAAGTCTAAAAAAAGAAAAAAAGCAAGTAAACATTGTATTTTCCACCAAGATTTTCTTTTCTAAAAGTACAGTCTTGAATTGTTTATTTAAAAGCCAATGAAAATGTCAACACATAAATAATATACCAAATATTGAAGAATAAAAACTAAGCTTTAAAATTTTATTGTTTCTTATATTTACCTACAGATCTAATTAACCGTAGGACTAAATATTGGTAATTTGAAAATTTCTTTTTATATTGGTCTATCTGATCTCATGAAGCACATTTAACAAACAAAAGAACCAAAAAGAAAATCAATAGACTCAAATTACAAAAAGCATTATTTCCTAAATTGTTATCGGGGTAAAATTAGTATCCACTGAGACATTAATAGGAAGTACTATTAACTGAGAAATGCTATACATAATACCCCTCATTTCTGGAGAAATACAATATAGTACCTTTGAAGGCTATTAAAGAGTCATGACTTAAGTTTTAAAAACAATCACTTATTAAATATTGCTTAATCCAGTGGGAAACATAATTCAGAAAATGTAGCATGGGAGTCAAAATTGTAAACTTCTGTTTTTTTCCTTTTCATGTTAGTCTATTCTACAGATGATATTTTAAATTCTTGTTTAGTTTCACAAATGCCAACAACTGGCCAACAAAGGTAAAAGTCAAGGCTACCCTACTAAAATCTGGTATTATTACTAATAATGTTATTGCTGCTTCTGCTATAATGGTCACACAAACTTTTAAAGAGCTCTGATGACACTTCATGATCTGTTCCCTAAAATCTTGTTAAAAAAAAAAGCAGGGCCTCGCTAGTGGTGCAAGGGGTTCAGTCTCAGTTATGAAGCTATCAACAACAAGTTCAATTCCCAGCCAAGAAGCTGATTCACATGGCATAGCAGACCTCTCATGTCTTGCCCACTGCCCCACTCAACAGTGTATTTTAGTAATCTACCTGTTATGCTCCCCCACTGTATCTCTGTTGAATCCTCTTACCTCCCTGCACCTCTGGCCTACACCCCCGTTCTTGTATGCATAAATAATTAAAATAAATCTTTAAAAAAAGGATCATACTATCATTCTTTCCCCTTCCCTGAAGCAGATCACTACATATACAAACTAAATTACAAAGAACTTTTAAAACAGAGGGGGAAAGTCATGTATTACCTTCAGAAATAGTCAATATTTAAAATTACCTGTAGTTTGATTTCAAACACATTTTGTATAAGTTTTGCCAGTACTGTTTCTGGATTACTAAAGATATCACCAACTTGTTTGTTCACCCGTTGACAGAGTATTGCTGCATCTTCAAATATATCATTTCTCAAGTAAGCACCCTAAAAAAGCAGTTATTTTAAAGTCAGTAAATTTTTAAATGGCTCATAAACAAATTAACAAAATATAATAAAACACAATAAAGTGTACTGCTATGTTACCTCCTGGCATTGTTTTATATAAACATCAACACAATGGGAATAACCCTAAGGAAGAAAGAAAGAAACACATTAACATGGCTCTGGCTCAATTACAGTAACAATAATAATCCCAATAAAAGAATAACTATAGGGCCCTCCCTGGTGGC